AGCCAAGCTTGGTGACATGGCCCATTATCTTTAGCTCTGGGGCTCAGCCTTCTCCCCCGGTAAGTAAAGTTACTCACTCAGAGCTCACTCACCATCTCCACATCTGACACAGGCCCAAAACTTGTCACGTAAATGTCTGTTTTGACCTCAGTGACAGCACCTGAAATCAGCCCAGAGGGATGGAGGCCGTTACCACCAGTGATGTTAAAGAGGATGGAACTGAACAATGCTACCATTCTCAAAGCTCCTTCTCATGGTCAGAATCTGCAACTCATCCTAAAGTCACCCCAGGAGCAGGAGTCCTTTGGTTGTTCAACTTGAAAAACTCACACCAGTTGCCTTATTTTAAATTGATTCTAGTCAAATTGCAGAATTTAAGGAGTGGAAGAGAACTGGGTTATTATTCTAATAAAAATTATAACAATACCTAACATATATAGTAGTTTGAGCAGGACAGATGCTTTAAAAAGTGTCTGACATGGAGCATCTCATTTTATACTCACAAACCCTCTGAGGCAAGCACTGTTCATACACCCTCACTGCAGTGGAGAAGGCTGAGGCTTGGAGAGTTCAAATAACTGGCATACAAAGTCACCAGCTAACTGAGGAAGGGACCGAGACTGGATGGGAACACACACGTGGCCCCTCTCCGGGGCCCTGCCCCTCACCCCTCTGCTGTCCTTCTGAGGCCTCTGGGCCTTGGGGGCGGGGGCACTAAGAGGGAAGAAGAGTACAGATGCTGGATCTAGTAAGGATGCTGCTCTCACCTCCAAATCCTGGCCGCAGCCGATTGTCATAGCCTTCAAGCAGGTTGTCCAGGGTCCGGCTGATGTTTTCTGAGTAGAGTTTGCCCTCATCTTCAAGTTTCCCTAGGGCATTTTCCACCCTGTGAGTAGACAGGCAATGGTCCTCACTCCCGGCCTCAGAGAACACAGGCTGTTCATTGCATCCTTGACCACCCCACCACAGATACATGCCACACCACCCAGGCTTCTTCCGCGATGCGGTAGAGAAGGCACCCAGTGAGTGTGCCCTCTCCCTTTCCTCCAAGCTGAAAGGAGAAATCAGAGAAAAGGTCTTACTCACCACAGAAGAATGTACAGCCAGGGCAGAGGCGATGCCATCCTGCAGGGCACTGAGATGCCAGTTCTCCCTCCTCCTGGTCTCTTCCTCCCAACCAGCTCCCCTCTGCCAGTTACCTAGAGCAGTCTTCCAGGCCCCTCATGTCCCTCCTCCTTGTCCGTGTCCAGCAGTAATCCAGAAGGTTGCCTGCTAAACTTTGCGGGTATCCCTTGCTCGCTTCGCCCTCCTATCCACCTTTTCACGTGGAACAAGGTGGTCTGGGGGCTGAGGGTACGTCCTGTTGGACACTCCGCATCCTCTGACTGACTCAGTTGGGAAGTGAGAGTCTGAAGGGACAGTGCATGGTCGGAGAGCAGTGACAGTAATCGAATAAGGCATTTGGGGAGATTAGAAGGGAGAAATCCACTGCTCGTTTTGGCATGGACTTAGCAGGGCCCCGTGAGGAAATCTGGAAGGCAGTGGCATCTTGCTGATTGAGGTTATGCTCCAATGGGCTCAGCGTTTATTATTTCTATGGTTCACAGAAGGATTTCTGCACGGCGCTCATGGCTGAAAAAGTCCAGCAATATTGGGACCCTCTTGGATTCTCGTTCTGATTTCACTAGCTTTATTGCATCGGATACACCTTTCCTCTAGATTTAGAAATTGGTCCTCATTCTTCATTGAAAAGCACTTAGACCACACCAGAACAACTGACCACCTTGCTGTTGGATTAGTGGATTGAATTTTTTTTTCTCTTAAATCAAGTACTTGGCTGAACCTTCCTGTCAAAGGTGTGGCACCTCAAGCTAAGATATAAAGGAGCTCACTACCCTCTGCAGAAGCCCAGCCAGGTTCATGAACGCTGCCTAGAAAAGACAATATCTGGAAAGAGCTTGTTAGGGTTCCTTGCCCACGCAGAAATGCTGTAAGCACAAAGCATCCGTAGACACGGTAAAGGATGATGTTGCTGGCACGATTTTATTAGGTTGGCTGCAGGTCAAAAGCAAAATGTTTGAACCTAAGGAGAACAGCATCCTCCACCCAGCCTGGTAAGGGAAAGTTGGAGTAAAAGAAGTTTCTTGAAGCCTTAAAATTTTGGTCTTTAAATAAAAATAATAAAGTTTTGTGAATATATATATATATATATATATAGTTTATGACTATATATACATTTTTTTTAAATTCAGGACCATACAAGTAAGAAGTAAATACCTCCTTCACCATCCTTCCTGCCAGAGCCACCCACCATCTCCCTAGTTCGCAGTCTGTTTCTTCAGCACCTAAATTCTACGAAAGTGATAGTAACTTGAAGACACATAGCAGTCTTAAGAGTTATTTCTGAAGACATGACATAAATCATTTGAAGAGCGTTTCAAGAAATTAGCTACAACGAAGACAACAACAGAAACAGAAACAGGAAAAGTGTAAGATTTCTTACGAAACAGTGTTTTTAAGATCACGGAATCTCAGTTACGTGGAATTTTCTCGTGGCTCATCGAGAACCCTGAATTCCCTCCAGCATTCCTGGCAAGTGGTATTCAGCACCTGTTTCCTCACATTGTTTTTCTTGTGCTGAGTCGAAACCTGCACCCTGGTCTTTGTGCTCGCCTTTGAAGCTACGGAAAAAAAAATGTTTTTGGGAAAGACCACATAGCGGCCGCTCAGACAGAGGTACCTATCATGTCCCCTCTAACTGAGGCTAAAAGCCCCTAAAATCTTTTTTTTTGTTCATTACAGAACCTGGTTTTCATATGTCTTCTTCTTCTTCTCACTCTGCTTTAAACTTAATCCAGCAAATCCCACATCTTTTCAATTCCCATTGACTGCACTGAAACCCTGAATATCTGATGCGATTCGATAATTCTCTGTTCATTTTTTGCTACAACTTAGTTTTTATTCAGCATAAGGCTCCATACTTACTCCTGCAACTTTGTATCATTTTTTTCCTATCGATATGTTTACCATCCATCTCTGATTTGTATCATCTTCGAGCTTAGTGAGGTTTTTAGGATTGAATTTTTTTTCAGATGGAAAAAAAAATGATCATGGGTGAGACTGTTTTACTTATATACATATTCATATAGACTGGGCATGTTTTTCTCCTTAAAATTATTATTCAAAAAAGGAACAAATAATAGTTTTTACATTTGTCTCCAAAAAGAAGATGAACATACTTGATTCTAGTTTGTGAAGGGTTTTAATTAGTAATGTAGTTAAGGAGAAGGTATATCTTTTCTACTCTCCATAGGGGGGAAAAGTACTAGATCTGGAAGGGAAATAAGGTATATAATCTTAGTCATTTCACCTCTGCAGACCTCACGTTTAAATGAATGTGCTGGAACTGAGGTACTCAAGCTCTCTAATTCTGTGCATTCAATTTATATGTTGGTGTCCATACGTCATGAAGTCACTCGTTCACATATCCCTGTTAGAGTCACAGACAAGCTCTGGTAGCAGCATTGTTTGATTTGATTGTAATTATTATTTTCCTGTGGAAGAGCCGTTAAAGAAAGAGTTCAAATGCATGACAATGGCTGTAACTTTGAGACATTTATGGCCATTTAGGTAGCATTCTGACTACACAGACCTGACATTCAGGAGATCCCCTTATGTAGAGAATTACCTTCTTCTGATACATTAGAGAACACTTATCTCACATCTGTCCATTTCACAGCTGTTTTTCCTAAATTAAAAAAAAAATCGCCTTGGACAATCGCTTGCTTTGCCGTTTTCATGCAGTAGAAAGCCTAGAACCACCGTCTTGCCCAACGACGCCGCTGATCACATGCTGGACTTAGAAGGACAATGTGAAAAAAAACTCCCTTCTTTATTCTAAACCTTGAACTTCTTGTACCACCACCACAACCAACGCAGGTTTGTACGTATGAAATTAATCAAAGACTCAAAGATGACTGGAGGAGATTATTGCACAGAAAAAGCTAATTTGGCACCAGACACGAAATAGTAATTTCCATGATACAAATGAACCAATACATACATATATGCAAACACACCCACGTATAGAACAAACAAAATCTTCAGGCCTCTTGGACAACAAATCGTTGCGTCTTCTCACTGCAAATCTCTGTTGACCTTTTTAAAAAAAAGTTGAAACTGAGCCTTAGAAAACCAGTAGCTCTTGTTTTGTCAGATGGTAACTTTAGCCAAGTAACTTTACTCTTTGAACATTAATATACTTATGTGTATAAGGAGCTTGAACCAAAGGATTCTGGTATTCGTGTGACTACTTTCCCACCTAGGACTAGAGGACTTGAAACATTTTCCCTGTCTGTCTTGAAACTATTATGGAGAGCAAGTCAGTCTAAAAATAATAAATGTAATTTAAGACTGTGTTAGTGAAAATTAATGTAATTTTAATAATAGCTACCAAATAATTTAACATTTACCATGTGCCAAGAATTATGTTAAGAACTCCACAGACTCCAACTTATTTACTGCTAACACAATGTACGAGCGATCTATAATTGAGCCCATTTGGTAAATCAGTAAATATGTTAACTTGTATAACCACACAGTTAATAAGTGGCAGAATTAGAATTCAAAACCAGATTTTTCTAACTCAAAATCAATTAGGTATGTCAGAAAGCAAGGTCTGCTTTGATGTTTGATGTTTCTCTTTGCAAGGAATTCTGCAGTAATGAAGTGTAACCTCAGCAAATGGAAACTAGACTCAATAAAAGAGCCAGAGAACTTGCCACAAAAAAAAAAAATCAAATAGGTATGAACTAAAGCCAGTGGGTGGAATCCTGTGAAAAATAAACTTCAGTTCTATTAAATAAATTATTTATCCAAGGATAGAATGGGCTACCATAGAAGAACATGAGTTTTCTTGTTAACAAAAGCATTCAAGTATGGCTTAAAACACCATAAATGGGTTTCATGAATGTATGTTTCAGGAGGAAATTACATGACCCCTGAGAACACTTAGCAGGGGACTGAGGTGATTTGTGGACACCCTATCCTAATGTGATGTCCAACCTATATAGAAACTGTAGAGACCTCAAGTGAATATTTGGATTCAAAGTCTCAGCTATGGAGTTTCTCTGGAATGATGTGAGGAGGATCTAAAGAGGTTCTTGGAGGTAAAATGTGCCTTGGAGGTACACTGGAGGAGAAAAACGGAGAGGTCCTACTAGGCTGTAGTGAAGGAGGAAGCAAAGAGAGTGGATTATATCATAATAGTTCTTATTTATTGAACACTTACTACATGTCAGTTATATACACTGATGTTCTCTCTCATCTAAGTAACTGCCGTAGCAGGTAGCCATTTTTATCTTCATTTTACAAAAGGGTAAAATGAGGCTCACAAATGTATGTAACTACCTAATGTCCCAGAGCTAATAAGTATCTCTGATTCCAAAGTATTCACTTTTATACACGGTGCTTTATATATGACAGATCGGACATCGTTTTCTAAAGTTAGAGCCCATAAACTCTCTGGACCAGTAACATTTCTTACATTGTTGATAAGGGACAGCTGACCTCTCAGTGGGCACTGTAGAAAACCCCCATGCAATTCCTCTTGGGGAATCCAGTGCAATAAGGATAAAATTGCTCTGGGAAGCAAAGGACAACAAACGGACACTCCTCTGGACAGCAGCTTTAAATTTCTGGCTCAAACAATAGAATGTTGGACATGTTTTAGGGCATTTTGGTGCCCCCCAAAAGTATAAGCAGGCAAAATCCATTTCAAACCTCGAGACACAAATATAGAGGGACCAAAAATCATGTCTAAAAGAACACAAGTATATATGAACTCATGATTTATACCTGTTTGACCAGTATCAGTTCAATTTAACCTTTATTAAGTTGAGAAATTAGGAATTAAAAAAAATAATGCTGACCCTCAAGACGTTCACACTGCAGATATTCTTAATCAACAGAACAGAACAAGTAAGATGCTGAGGGCTGGAAGATGTTTAGCACCGTTCTGTGGAAACAGAGTGAGGAGGCATCTGTAGAGAGAGAGGGAGCAGTGATTATTTCATGAAAAAGATGACATGTGGACTGAGCTTCAGCAGTTGAAATAACTTTTAATAGATTAGAAAAGACCTTTCCAGGCTGCATGATGAACTCAGGGGTGTGGGTTCTGAACTACAGATAACTTGAGAAACTGGAATATAGGAAACAAAGATGAGACATAATGGATAAAAAGACTAGAAGAGAAAACTGAGAGTCCAGCAGAAGGAGATGTGCATGCTCCTCACTGGAGGATTTGAGAAAAGGCGTGGATATCTATATACTAAACCGTGGTGGGGTCGGCTACACCATTCATAAGAGCACTTTCTCTCTGAGAACTGCCCTGCTGTTTCATGCGGTGGAGCCTTATTTGCCATGCCTGTACTGGATCCTACACCAACCCTTCTTTCATTAGACCACTTTGGAATCAGGTAACTTGGATTCATTAACAGGCAAGTTACTTAGGCAAATTATTGACCATCTCTAGGCATTATCGTCATTATCTGTAAAGTGGGATTAAAGAGTCTTGGTGAGAATTCAAAGTGCATGAAGATGTTCATCATGCGGAATTGCCCACAGAAAAGAAATATACCCATCAACACTGCTACCACCGTCATCATCATAACCATCACTGTCTTCATCATTTTTGGCTAAATCAACTCTTCTCTCTCCAGTATGTAGAAATAGACTCTAAAATTAAAGTGCTGTCTGTGTTATTTACTAACGCTGCTAGTGTTGGAGGAGGGCATGCCTGGCCAAGTTTATGCAACAGCAGAGAAATATCTGTGGAGACAGGAAAAAAAACAGCAACAACAAAAAGGCAGCCGTCCTATAGAAAAAAAGGGACAACTCACTGCAATCCCAGTATCTGAGAGAGGAGCTACCTAGATTTTTGATGGCCTCCCTGATGTCATTCATCCATAATCTAGGTGTCATTTCTGCCCTTGGGT